GGGCACGGGCCGCCCCGCCCTTCCCAGAGGGAGCAGGGTCGGGACCGCGGGGTGTCGCCGGTGCCCACTGGCCTGCCGGGGACGCCGGGGCGCCGCAGCTCGCTCCTCCTTGAGGGAGCCCGGTGCCGGCCTCCGGGAGCTGCAGCCGGTCCGACGGGAAGGCCCGCCTGGCCACCGACACCCTCTCGAACAAGTGACCTGAGCGTTTCGAGGACCGCCTGGCATGGTTCGCAGCTTCCTCAAAATCCTTCCAGTTTGTTAAGTGGTCGTGCTCGAAATTTTAGATAAAACTGACACTCAGAAAATTGTTGTTTGTACAACCCCACTTCCTAGCAGGCGGAAGGTGGCCAGCGCTGGAGTCCAGCGGCGCTGGTGCGGTCAGCACATGAGTGGGCACCTGACTGGATTAAACGTGTCGCAGCAGCGTGGGAACCAAGAGACAGCCGAAGTGCGGCGGAAGGAAATACCCTGTGCAGAGAGCGAGATGCGCGCCTTTCCTAACCAGCAAAGCTAGCGTTGGGGCAGTCAGGGCAGGCGGCCAGATGAGAGGACAGGCCACTGCCACCTGCCCAGCCCTGAAACAGGAGCCCTAGAAAGCCCCCAAAAGACAAAACAAAACAACCGCAGGCAGCGGCAGCAGCACGGCACCCGCACAGCAGGCGCCTGTGGCCAGAGCCCAGCACAGGACCTGCAGGCAGGGGGCCTGCCGGTCTGGGCAGGAGACCACGAGCCCCAGGGGTGGTCACCTTTGTCTTACAAAGGAGACCACACGCCGAGACCATGGGTGGCAGCCGCCTCGGCCAGATGGCGTCAGGGAGGGTCACCCGGAGCCTGGACAGCACCGGCCGGGGTCATGGTCACTACTGGTGTCAGAGACACCCGGTGCCCACCGCTCTGGGAGAGGGTGGGCGACACCAGCAGCAAAAAGCTTCAAGGTGCCAGGCCTGTGTGGGGGTCCCTGCACGGGGTGGAGACATCGCCTCTCCTGCAGGAGCAGCCCCTCCTTTCTGCCGTTGGGGGCTGGCAGGGCCCAGGGCCCTACTTAGAGCCTCTCTCGGCCCCACCCACACATGCGATTGGGCCACCTTTACGCTTGTGGCTGATTGGACTATCTGCCACCAATCAGCTCATAGGTTGCACCTGATTGGTCTAGGCTGCCACCCAGCTGCATAAAAGGGCTCTGAGCCCCCCCCCCCATGAGTCGGCCAGACGCTGGTGGCCCTGTATTTCCCACCACTGAAGCAGCTGGATTGGGAACAAAATGAGTTTTATCGGGGAGCACTCAGGCGAGGAAATGCGGCTGCTTTGGCAGAGCCGTGCTTGCTTCTGTGGAGCGCGTGCCGCCTGGCAGGAGGGCATAAATGAAAGTCTGTCCTGCAAAAGGAGAGTCTGGGCAGGGGGTTGTCATGGGCAGAGCTGTGGCTGCACACAGAAGGGGCTTGTGGGATGGGAAGTTGGCTTCCTGTTGGGGGTTGCAAGCCTGGAGGGGGGGCAGGCCTGAGCTCTGGGTGTACATACCCTCCAAGTTGTCCCTACAGCCAGTACCCGTGTCCGAAGTGTCCTGGTCAGTGCTTTACTCTGTTACTGCAGCCTCAGGGCAGAGCAGCAGCAGGTGTTGTCTCTCCCTCGTCTGTGGTGACAGTTGTGCCCCAGAGGCTTTTTGTGCACCTGTGTGCCTTGGGTCTGGAATGGACCAGTCAGGTGCAACTTACGAGCTGATTGGCACTCAGTGATCCAATCAGCCACAGGATTGAAAAATGGTCCAATCAGATTCGTGGGTGGGGCTCCCTGAGGCCCTAGGTCAGCGTCCTGCGAGCTGAAGGTTCCAGCTTATCTAGGGGTGAGGTGCTACAGAGTTGACCTCAGGAAGGAAGAGGCGCTGAAGACCTTTGCGGGGACCAGGCCTGGGAGCCCAGCGCCCGGCCTGGTGTGGTCACAGAGCTGTTTGCTGTTGGTGTCTCCCAACAACTTGTAAGACTTTAGTACATTGGGTGTCTCCATCACTGCCTCTGGGGACCAGTGATGAGCATCACTACAGACCAGCACTGTCCAGACTCCTGGTGACTGTTGGCAGCCATCACTGACACCATCTGGTGAGGCAGCAGCCACCCGTGGGCACGACTTGCTCTTTGTCTCCCTGTCTGTGAGACACACCCCAGGGTGGCGTCCCCGGAGCCCCAGGTCCCTGGCAGTCGTGCGCGGGAGAGACCCCAGTGACTCTCCTCCTGCCAGGCCCTCTCTCATCAGCTATGGCCCACGGGCCCCCAACTGTGTGGGCGTTGTATTGCTACAGCCCTTGGTTTGGGTTTTGGCTTTTTGGGGCTCTCTTGTCCTAGAACCAGGACAGGCAGATAGGCCATTCGGGTCTGCCCAGGTATCCCATCCTGCCATCCAGTCTCCTGCTCACTCCTATTTCAAATTCATTATTGTGGCTTTAAAAAAGACGTTTCCTAACACCATCCATTGAAAAGGCCTGTAACTATTCACCAACTCAGTAGCGACGAGCAGCCATAGTGCCTGTTTGTGCTCAGTCTCCCTGAAGGAACATGGCTTGAGAAGATGTGTGGGTGACCAAAGGGCATTTGAGGAGCCTAACTTAAGACATCCTCATCGCAAACAAGGGAAGATGAGGAGACAGAGGGAACAGAGACCAGCAAGACTAAAACCAATGACTTGAAAACCAGGCGCTTCAAATCCCTAATTACTAAGGATACATACATACTTATATATATATATATATATATACATACATACTTATATATATATATATACTTATATATATATATATAAATAAACCTTTATATATATATATATATATATAAAGGTTTATTTATCTACGCACACAGAACTGGGGTACAGGCCAGAAGCAGGGGCGGTGAGAGGCTTCACCAGAGAAAGAGGGGAGCATAACTGCAGATGGACCAAGTACACTGCTGAGGGGGGCAGCGGGAGGGACAGAAGAGGTCTGCTGTGCCATGTGGGTCAGCTCTGGGGTAGGATCGAACTTGCACCGAAACAGCTGCAGCTGGCTTGCAGTGCTGTGTCTTAAGCCCCCTCTGTGCCACCAGGGAAGGCCCAGGGTATATTTTTAATTCTTTGTTCACTTTTGAGGATGCTGACAAACTAGGACTTGTTGAATAGGACATAGAGGGAGAGCATCAAGCATTTAGCCTGCATTTCTTTCGAAAATGTGTATTTTTAACCAGATGATGATGGAAAAAAATTCTCAGTATACTAATCCCATTAATAAGTGAAGGAGAAATAGTAAGATTAAAACACATTTTTAGGGTCTGCCTGGTGGCCCAGGGGTTGAAGTCTCAGCTCTGTCAAGCTATTGGCAGTCATGGAGGCCTGAGTCCGTCCCTGCCAGGGGGTGACCTCAGGGCAAGAGACCCCTCCTGTTTCCCCGCTGCTCCCTCAGCAGTGCATCTCAGTGGATCCGCCTGTTCTGCTCCCCACTCTGTCTCTGGGAAGTCCTGTCACCCCCTGCACTTCTGCCCTGCACCCCAGTTCTTCTATGTTTAAATAAAAATAAGTCTTAAAACTTTTTTCACTTTAATGAATGTATCTGCTAATTAACATCACAAAGGACAGTTAAAATAGTAGAGTCACTTGATTAAACTGCACAACCCCAAGACTCAGACAAAAGTCCCCAGGACTACAAGCCGACAACTCCAGCTCCACAGGTGAACGCCTGCTTTCTGTATAAAGATCCGCAGGAGAAGAACCTAACACCCAGAGTCCTCCCTGTTTCTGCAACTTTTTAATGAACCTCAACTTTTTTGAGTTTTAAAAAACAGACCCTCCCTGGTGATGCAACGGGTTAGGAAGCAGCACAGCAAGCTGGCCCCAACCACTTCAGTGCGAGTTTGATCCCTCGCCCAGGAGCTGACCCCCATGGCGCGGCCACTGCTCCCTAGCAGTGTCCTTCGTCGACCTGCCTGCTCTGCTCCCCACTGCCTCTGGTGACGCCTCTCATGGCCCCTGCACCTCTGGCTCATACCCCAGGTCTGTGTGCAGATAAATAAACCTTTGGGAAAAAATAGACTGGCGGAGCGGTTGCAGCTTATTGGGGTCGTGATGTAAGCAACACGAAAGTCGACGGGGAGACCTGGTCACCCACTGTACACCGGAAGATGAGCTGTAAGTCACGAGATGTTGGGGAGTTTGCCCAGCCTCGCGCTCCCCGCGCCACGTGGCCACTCGGCGCGTGCGCACTGCCGCCCTACGGATACGTGCCGCGCGGCGGGGCGACCATGGCGGCGTCCGGGCAGTGTCCCCGCCCCTGCCAGCGGGAGGGCCGTGTCCGCCGCTCCGAGCCGGGAGCGACCTCCAAGGGGCGAGCGCCCGCAAAGGCCCGGCTCGCCC